TGCCCCCGGCCCCCCCATGCTCCGTTCCCCTTTATTATTTTTAATCGATATTTTATGATCGCGTTTTATTCCGTGGTGTGTGCCCTAGCGGGGGATTGAGCGTTGAAGCGGCCTGCGGAGCTGACGCGCTCAGGGCAGGCCGGTACCGAGCCGCTTGGCCGCGCGCGGGTCCCGCCGCACCGAAGGTCCCGGGAGCGGCGCTGTCCGGAGCGCAGAAAGGTGCCGTCCAGGGCGAGCTCCTGTCAGCTTGACCCTCGGGACAGTTTATGGTGGCTACCCTGCTTGTTCAGAGAGTGTTTTGCTGGCGTTAGTGAAAACTTTAAATAACTTGTTATTGAGTGGTGCAGTGGCGTTGGACACTGACTGCGTAGCACCGTGCACTGACTTGTGGCTTAGTTCAGCCTTTCAGTTGATGGTTGGGAGAGTTTTGACTTAGCACATTCTTATTGGCAATGCTGTTTAGGAAGTGAAGCATTGGGGTAGCTCTCTTCTTAGCAGAGATAAAAAGGCACACGCTAAATAGCTGTTGAATGCCAATGCTGTCATGTTGCCCTTCCAGTAGGAATTGGAGGCAGTGTCTCGATCAAGGGAGCAAGTTCTCATAACCTCCAGTCTTCCTCGGCACAGGCTGTGGGCTTCAGGGCTCTGTACGTTGGCAACAACCAGGAAACTTCCTGATTATCGTGGAGGAGGAAGGCTGAAGCTGCTCACTGCAGTAGAGTGTATGCTCTGCTTAGTTAAGTCCATAGTTGGAAAGCTTTGCCGGGATGCCCCTGGCCAAAGGTTACAGCTAAGGGTATGTGTGCCGGTGACACACCAGCCTAACCGTGGTAGGGATTTTACAAGTGTAAGAGAGCGCAGGGATGTTGCACATAAGCTATCTGACTTGATCTGGCCGCTAAATAGCAGTAGGGTTTGTTTGTATGTTTGTTTTTTTATTTTTTTCTTTCTTTTTTTTTCTTTTTTCTCACTGTTGTGCACTGGTAGAAGAATTTTGTAGAAAACTACCCGTTTGAAATGCATTTTTGAGGTCTGCCCATTTCAAGCACGTTTTTGGAGTCTGACGTGCTTGTAGCGATACAAAATTGGTTCATTTTTTCCTGGGACTATAAAGCAGCTGTTAGATCTACCACACAGCAAGTGCACCTTCTGCAGTAACTGCTGGAATATCTGTATCTCCCATGTGTCATAGATAGGATACAACAGCTTCTGTATGTTTTCTTTTCCCCTTTTTAAACAAAACAAAATTGGATTGAGTACTACTGGTAAATCAACAGATATAAAGCATCATTCGAATTATTAGCCCTACTAGCATGAGATTGCTGTGTTACCAGTGTGAACTGTTTTTGTCTACTTTAGAATTGAAAACAATAAGATGTCATGCTAAAAGTGACTTTTGATGCTGTGTTGAGTGAGGAGCTGGAGCTAATGGGAAAGATGAATATGAGAATTTGGTGCCCTTTCTGTTTTTGTTTGTTTGTTTTGTTTTTATATGTATTATTTACTTAGAACTTATTGTGGAAATTGCTGAATCTCTTCCACCACCCTCACCTGTACAGAGGATAGATATTTCAGAAGTCACATGTTCTTGTTCTTTTAAGGTTACAACTAACTAAACAAAGCCTGGAATTAGTGCATATGTGCAGCTTTGATTTGAGAAAATTTGGCATGTGGAAGTGCAACACAATTAGGGCAGGAATATATAGGTAGAAAGTGAGTTTGAACCTTGCGACAAAGATTTCTCAGATTTTCCCAAACTGTGGAATAATTTGGAACAGTTCAAATGGACAAGGATTTATAGGAAACAGTCTTAAAGATCTTAATTGGTCTTGCTTTTTTATTTTGAGCCAGTTGTAAAACCTTCCTTCTTAGTATTAGAAGAGATCATGTCAAAATGAATCTTCTTTGGAATGGGTGCATGACCCGGTGGTTGGGTAACAAGGATCATTCCCTTCACGTGCTCCTTTGCACGGTTTCAAGTTGATGCAAATCATGAAGTATTCGCTTTTGAGGCCCAACCTTACTAATGCTATGGGCTTGTCATGATATCATTTCAAACTTGGAAGGTGCTCTTCTAACTTAAAGTGGTGGTTATAGATGTTTACTGGACCAACTTCCTCAACAACGCTGACCCTGCACATGGTCAATTTGGAAGCTTTTTTTTTGCGGTGTTTGCTGTGGATTAGGTCAGTTTTGGGGAGGAAAATGAGTTTTGAGCATCCCATACTCTAATATTTTTATTTTAAAGCTGTTACAGGAGTTATTTCTGTTCCAATTTGTTAGTACTAACGTCCAATTCAGCCTGGTATATAAGTGCTCATGTATAACTGCACTGTCTTACAAATCTCTTCTGCCAGTGTCTACTTAAAAACAGCTGCATGGGAGCTCTGCAGGTAACTAAGTAGAATGACACCTATGGATCTGTAGTGGTGGGGATGCAAGGAAATAATACATCTCTTGATACCCCTGTTTGTGGTTTCTTGGGCTAGCAAAACAGATAACTGCGGTAGAAGATGGTGCAACGCTTCTGCAGGCATGTAAGTCCTTATCTAATCTGGCCAGGATCATGTAAGTAACTTCTGGAAAAGTGCAGGCCTCGCTATGTGTGCATGGAGTGTTGCTGATAAAACTTTGCTGTTCCTCAGATTACATAACTGAGCTCATAACGCTCAGCACCTCTGGCTTTTAGGGTAGGACGCACTAACAGATTGACCATCTTGTCTTAACAGGAAGATGTTCATCGGCGGCCTTAGCTGGGACACTACGAAGAAAGACCTGAAGGACTATTTTTCTAAATTTGGTGAAGTCGTAGACTGCACTCTGAAGCTAGATCCCATCACTGGGCGCTCAAGAGGCTTCGGCTTCGTCCTCTTTAAAGAATCGGAGAGCGTAGATAAGGTAGTGTTGCTGTAAATAATCATTGTGCACTAGACAGTGAATGTTTTAGGCAGGTGATAGTAGGCATGGTTATTAAAGGTGGTTTTCCATGCAGCAAATTTATGATGATGTTTATTGGAAGAACGTTCCATCTCTTCATCCACCTTACTCAAGATGTGGTAGCCGGGACCATCACCAGTTCCCTAAGGGTGGCCTTGGGCGCTTGCAAGGGAGTGTGTAGTAACATGCTGGGACTTGTGTTCTGTAATTCTGTGTATGGATACGTTAGCTGCCAACTATTATGAAAATGGGATTCACAAAGTCAACGTTTGATAGATATAAGGCTTTATCCAAGCAAAAAAAGAGCTGTTAGCCCTTCTCAAATGCTGTTGATAAAAGATGCTAGAAAGCTTTGCCTTCTGTGATCCTTGGTGATACATAAGGCATGTGATCTCCTGTAGTTTTCGGAGGTTTGAGGAGGGGGTTGCACAGTGTTAGAAATGTTATGTCCATATTTTCCTTGCATGACAGATGTTCTTGAAAGACTTTGATAGGACTGCTTATGTAGTTGGTGAGTAGTGATCAAAATGATAGGACTGTTTGGTGTCATGGAACAAACGAAGAGTTTAATAAAAGTATTGAGATTATGCATGGCTTTGTTAATGCTGTCAGTTTAAAGCAACTGGGCCAGTGAAATATTTGGCTCAAGATCCTGACATATGCTTTAAAACTTTACACAGGTCATGGACCAGAAAGAACACAAGCTGAATGGGAAAGTCATTGATCCTAAAAGAGCTAAAGCCATGAAAACAAAGGAACCAGTTAAGAAGATTTTTGTGGGAGGCTTATCTCCAGATACCCCTGAAGAGAAAATAAGGGAATATTTTGGAGGCTTTGGTGAGGTATGTGACAAAATGGAAATATGTACTTTGATATGTAGAACTCAGGCCTTCTTCATCCATTTAGTAATAAGAAAGCCCTCGTACCCGACCTGTCCTGAAGCTACTGCAAGCTTAATGGCTCCACATGAGTAAGTATTTTTGGGAAGTGTTTGTAAGCAGTGGCTTAATCAAAGTTTTGATTTGCATGTGCTGGTAATGCAAAGTGGGCTAACAGGAGAAGGAATTGGAATATGCTAGAACTGGTTCATTGGATGCCTGATGGGCTTGACTGGGGCTTTTTCCTATAGACTTTAACATTATCATTCAATAAAACAGTACTCCTGGGTGCTATATGTAAGGAAAACTTTCCTCTAATGTTATTGGAGCCCAGAGTTTCAATGGAAGAAATTGGTCCTAAAGCAGAACTGTAGCAGCATTATGGATAAACAGAACTCTGAACGCTCTCCAAGTTAAATGGAGGGAGTTCTTAATATGAACTTGGAAAATTTAGGTCTGCTAGAGGTTTGAAGTATCTAATTACCTCAATGATGATGAAATTAAAAGTGAATGACAAACTGAGACTATTTGTCCAGCACAGTTCAACACAGTTTGGATCACAGTTTATGATCCATGTTTTGTAAGAAAATGATGAGGTGATAATGAGGAAAAAGATTTCTTGCACAATAGGAACATGGCTTATAGTGATGCTGCGTGTGAAGCCCTATGAAACAAGCCCGTTATTATATTCAACTTTCCATAAGCTCAGTTAAGTGGTTAGAGTTGCTAAAATAACCTGTCAAAACAGTGTAAATGACAATAAATATATAAAATAACTGTCTTTCTCTAGGTCGAATCTATAGAGCTGCCCATGGACAACAAAACTAACAAAAGGCGTGGATTCTGCTTCATTACTTTCAAGGAGGAGGAACCAGTGAAGAAAATAATGGAGAAGAAATATCATAATGTTGGCCTTAGTAAAGTATGTTGAATTTTTTGTTGTTTTTTTTTTTATAGGGGAACCTAACACTGATAATAGATCAACTTACATTCCTATTTGCATGTGTTTGGGGATAATAGTCTGCAAATATCTTTAAGCATTATCACTGTGATGTCAGCATGCAACTTCTGAAGCTTTGACCAAGGTGCTAGCAATCTGGCTTTTGGACTTGGGAAGGGTTTTCAGTGAGGTTTAAACAGCCCTTGTAAGGAGAGTGCTGAAAAACTGTCAACTAGGTGTTTTTC